CAATAATGTCGCATAACACTACTTTTCGATCACAGAGCCAACCAGAAATGATCGGAGTTCATGTTCACACAGAGGACTGTGAATAGGGACAACCGAATGAGCGGCTCAATTTTTAACCAGGTGTGCAGAAATTGTTCCTTTGAAACCAAATGGCCGTATTAACACCATATTTCTATCCTTAGTGACATATAACGTGTAATTTTCGATGTGAGACGAACATATGACTGATGATCAGTTCCATTCATTGTGACTTCACATTCTATTCACAAGAAATATTGTCTACGAGCAACTCCGTAAGGACTGAAAATCCAACTGAAAAATTCCTGTGCTTACTTCATGTGAATAACGATGCTCATCGACAGTCGACGCATAACCAGAATCACTACCTCCGAGGGTGTTGAATCTTGGTGCACGTGAACGTCGATCGTTACGACGGTATATGGTGTCGATTCCGTTATCATGACTGCAATAGCATCGAATTGATCTCACGTTTGAATATTCTGATGAGTAAATTGAATTTAGAATGCACATAAGATCTGCTTGTGAACCCATTAACAATTCCAACATGACTGACGCGAGAATCGAGAAGAGAACATTTTCGGGAAAATGAAATCAGGAAGAATTTTCGTCAATGATTTCTTTCTATCGAATGACGACGACTGATAATTATTATATCGCACAATGCAGTGATAATTCAAATTTCGAACTCGAATTTGTGATAACATAAACGATGTTCACAAAAACTCTGAATCNNNTTCACAAAAACTCTGAATCAATAAGATGTGCTCACTATTTGCCGCGCCGTAAAGTGGCATTAATGGAAACTGGTCGATTCATCGACCAATCCATTTGGCGCAAACCATTCTCCGAGCAGTTCGCTTGGGCTCGTAACCATTTGAATACATGTTCCCGTCCCTAAACTTTATCCTTCAGACAGTAGGCAGTAATGGCCCAATAAAAAAAGACTAACTTCATTAAGGACGTTCAAACATTTTCTCACATGATGGCTGATTTGATAATGCAAAAATCGATTTCACAACATACTGAACAACAATCAGCGCTTACAGCATATAATCGAGCATGTATAATGTCTACAATCGAAACTGTTCCGGGAATCGCAGCACAACTTTGAAAAGCAAAGGTGTCACGAATGGACTGACTTGCCTTCGAGCAGATCGTAGCTGGAGGTGTTGTCAGAGGGTTGCCGTACGTACACAGTTCAACCAGAGAGCTCATGTGACGCAATTCTGAGGGTAACTCACCGATCTCATTTTCCGATACATCTAATACTCGTAATTCCATTCGCGACAACTCTAAAATGTATCACTCCTTACACACCTCATTGCAGGTTATTGGTTTCACTGCTCAGTGAATACTCCAAATAACATCCCCATTAATTTTACTCAATGCAAACAAGTCGGAATACTGAAGTGCACATTGGCACACTTGTTTATAAATTTGTGATGCAATCGGCCTGCGTAATAATAAATAAATGAATGGATTTCAAAAGCCAATGGAACTGACCAGAAGGCAAACGTGTAAGATGATTATCACGTAAATTTAGCACACGTAACAACTTCAATAAGGCAATATCTGCGGGAATTGTTCGTAAACGATTGCAACTTACATCCTGAATCAACGAAAGTCATTCTCCATTAATCAGCAAAACTTAAAACAAGATTCTCTTCGTTCCATAATATGATTGAAGAACATGTTATTGTTGTCTTCGTACTCGTTACTATCCCACAAAATTTCAGACTTCATTTTACAGATGATAACAGTTGGTCAATGAGTTAGTATTATTTGTTTACCAACAAGCAGAAACGATTAGCGTTCGAAAACAACAGTTAAGCATTCGTATGGATAATGTATTCGTAATTAACTGCAGTACGCAATTACAGGAAACATGTTGTTGTGAGTATATCTCATCGGCTTATTTGGACTATGAGATGAGATTATGATGCAAAAAAACAAATATACGGACAACGCGTTTGACTGTTTACAAAATGAATGCCAATTGTTTAGAAGACTTTTGNTAAATTCTCATAACCGATAGGTAAACAATCAAATTCATTGTTCAAATAAAATTTTACGCCTATGAAGTGAGAACGACCAAACACTTGACATGAGTTGATTGATCAAAGAAAAGAAAAGCAATCACCATAGGTCAATTGCTTCGATATTATCACATAGGTGCTCCGCTGATCTATTATAAATGTTATTTGGTGATCAGTGAGATGAAATGAACAAATTGAAATCCTATAGCCGAATGGTCAGTTTAGTGGTTGCTTTGTGTGTTTGCGTAGTTGAAGGAATAAACTAAACGAACCAATTCATGAATTGAATCAGCTAAATGTCGAACTTCTCGTGGTATACTCTCGAGACGATTACCAGTGAGCAAAAGCACTTGCAGACGTAATGAAAACAAACCGACTGGTAGCGAGCTCAGTTGATTCTCACTGAAAATGAAAGTACTTCATTTCATTCCGCAAAATCATAAATGAAAGTATACCGTGAACAGTGCTCGTCATTTCAGACTCCTTTTAGGCTTGTAATAATTCATTTGTTAGTGTTGATCAATGTTAGCCTCTAGCCTTCTAATTCACCGCCTCAACATCTCAATACTTCGAGGCATTGCAAGCAATTCGATCGATTCGATAAATTATTAACTTCATTTTGATAATCTCAGTGTTCCACTTATTAAATATTGACTCAGTTTATCGTTTTGTTGACTTCAATCCGAACATTATTCCGACAAATGGCACACTTTCTACACATGATTGATTAGCTGAATTAGTAAAAGATTCATTCAATTCTTGAAGTTTTTATAACGTCTGATACTTTCAGATAAGTCATCAAACTTTAGAGGTTACTGCGAGAAGAGATTGAGGAAGCTGTTGAAAAAAGTTTGTTCAACGGATGAACCGTTTGTATGGAATGTGAGAGTAATTCTCTTGAAAGTAGTGAGAAAGTTAGCGAAGAAAACAAAATATTTCGTGGGAACAATTTTCTGGATATAACCGTTCTGGTGACGTGACTNTTGATTAACACTGAAAATGAGTTCAATCCCACACGATAACTGCTCCTAAAATGTATCGCCTACCATCTCGAACTGCTCTAGAACATGAACAATATTCAGATGACCGTTGCGTTTCACTGTCAACAATTTGTGTCCCCATTTTGCGTTTTTACACAATTGCATGCAAATTAAACGGAAATCGCTCCTTAACTGATATGCTCCCTTATTGCTGTCCTCAAATATTTATCGCATCTAATATTTGATTCAGCTATTGATTAATATTTAGTTTGACTATTAGGATCAATTCTATCTGACTGTTTTGCTGTTTTTCGACAGCTGCATATACCGAATAACCGTTCAGACGAAATGACTAATATTATGTGTACTACATTATGTCTACTTCATAAGGCTGCCCTATTCGTGCACCACATAATCATCATCCGACTCAGTAATGATCAATGAACATGAGAAACCGTATCGAGCCAATCGAATAAGCTGGCAGATGTTGTCTTACACGTCAGATAAATACAACATCACCTTTAATGCCCAGCTTCAATCTATAATATATAGCTTCGCCAGATGAATATTAGCATATTACAGCTTCTTTCATCAAAGGATTGGCAGAAATGGCATGCAGATGAAACGGTTGTTATAATGGGGGAGTTTTTTCGCGAAATGTTATCGGTTCATCGTATTCACAAGTTGAGAAGGAAACAATGTTTTAACAATGTCTGATGTCATGTTTAAATTAACGTCAGATGTGTTGTAATTTAGAATCGAGTTTCAAGACGCAACACATAAAAATTCAGCTTTTTTAAAACAATACATCAAGGAAAATTAATATCTGCCTCGGTGGTGAGCTCAGAAAATGATTAGAAATTACGTCACATTTCCGAAGGAAAACAATTTTTTTCAAAATTGATGCGTATATCAGTTTTAACATTTTTCTTGGTCTTTCATTTAGATTAATCGAAACAAGTGTTAACTTGAAACTCGTCGATGTGATAGATGATTTCAGCAATCATTTGAAAACATGATACTAAAAATGTAACTATACGCTTAAGAATGCTCATTACAGAATCATCGTATCATGCTGAATGTGATGAACATTTGACTCCAATGCTGCAATGTTACCAACAGAAGTGGAAAACTTCCACAAATCATCAACAATCTCTTTGATTGACTATGATTTATATCATAATGGGATATAATTGTATTTTGTGATATGTTTATGATGTGTCTAAGATTTGCTTCGAAATTTATATTTGTAAACACATATTTGCTCATTTGTTATGCAGCATAAAGGCAAACTGCTCATTGTTGGCTGAAAATAAATAAATAAACTCAGCAAATATCTAACTGAGAAACTTCTCTAGAACTAGTAAACAATTAACTCGTCTGAAGAGAAAGACTCTCTGGAATGTAAACGAGTGTTTGGTGAAAGAAGTCATTGCAATGCTGTGAACAGAGGAGGTGATGACGATTCGTTGTAATGCTGCATTGACGTAAACAGCTGATGTGCATAAAAATGAACTTGAAACATAATTAGGCACTAGAAAGGAATGAGATTAGTGATTACCTTAGATCAAGATATACGAGGGATTCAAGCAATTGAACTGCAGCCGGTAATGATCGAAGACCCGTAGAACGCACTCTCAACGTCTCCATTGAGGCTAATTCACAGATGCAGATTGGCAACTCATTCAAACGATTATCACTGAGATCTGAAATGATCACATCTATCTGATTAGTGCGACTCACAAAGGGAACATAATATATATTCTCTCATTATCAGTCGTTTTCATCAGCCATTATTTCACTGAGTCAAGTGTTGTGCAATACGAAGTGAGATAACTCTCAACGGGTTTCGTTGTTTTGATGACGAGTTAGCGGCAGATGCATTAGGATTATAGTGTTGCCGAGGGAACATTAGAATTAATGATTACTCTAAGGGGGGCATGACCTCGAAACGGAATGAATAATGATTTAGTACTTGTACAAAATAGCAGTTATCATCTATCCGCCTGTTCGATCAGTTCCTAGCGAGGAATATAATCACAAAGTACTTACATCCATCATTCATATGACACCCATTCATTCATGCATCAATCGATCTGGTGATAAAGTGAAATCCGAACAATGCCGAATAAATCTTAACACCAAATGCGATATGCGCACTTCAAAGGCACAAAACTATTCACTCGCATTATTGCCTCACTCTTATGCAACTAGAACGCACCTCATAAAGATATGTTCATTGCAATGCTATGTTATTAATTGNCGCATTATTGCCTCACTCTTATGCAACTAGAACGCACCTCATAAAGATATGTTCATTGCAATGCTATGTTATTAATTGTTACTATCAAAACTAACATCATCAACTGCTAATAAATTCATGAGCTCATGGTCAACTCACACGACTGAATCGTTCTACACGTGCTAATTAATGCAGCTACAAATGGCAGCTCAAGCGAATCCCATTTGTAGATGCACTAGCATATGTACAGCGATTAGTTAGTTGGGTAAGTAGTTCGTATTTGACTGTCGATCTTGCTCGCATACTTAAATGTGAATATGTTCAATAGCATTTATCTGACAGAACTTCCTTCAAATGCTTTTGTTGCTATATAAGTGAAATGTAACCAGATCGGCTCAATCAATATCGATGGAAAGTGATCTTTGTGGATATTTTTACTACGCAATGAATGAATTAAAAATTCATAAATAACGTTCGAGCAAAATCGATTCATTTAATAGCTGAGTCATCGTAAGCAGCGATAATCAGTTCTGTCTATACTCAGAATGAATTTCAATGTTATGCCAAAAGAGATCTATTTTTTGATATTATGAAGATGTGACCAATTT